CCCCCGGTGAGACCCTCTTTAGAACCTGGCAGCTGCGTGGCCTACCTCGCTGCTTCCCGGACGCTCAGGCAACGGAGTCCTGCAGCAGCCCCAGCAAGGATCTTGGGCGGAGACGGCACCCCTCTCGGGGAGGCTGATGTTCCTCTTCCCGTCTTCTTGCAAAGTGCTCTGCGAGGTATAAAAGGAGAGGGTGGAGAGCTCGGAGCTGAGCGGACGGCATGTGGACGGGTCAGCTGAGGGGTTATGGAGCCAAAGGCGATGGAACCCGGACAAGCATCAGCCCACCAGACTCTCAGACTTTGCACTTTCCTTCCTCGAGAGTCCAGCTTCTACCTGCGGCCTGGCACCAGCATGCCAACTGACGCCGTGTCGAAAAGGGTTCCTGGATCCAGCTAGCACTGGGGCTCTGAGTCAGGAAACTTCTGGAGATCTGGGGTGGAGCCCAGGGAGGGGAGGGTTTGGGGAGGGGAGGGACCTCTGCAAGGTATAATTGATTTGATTTGATTTATTACATTTCTACCCTGCCCTCCCACCCAGGGCTGGCTCAGGGCAGCTTACAAAAGCAGCATAAAATTACAGTAAAATTACAATAAGATACATTAGCAACAATATTAATAATAAACAATTCTGACTATTCATATTAAAACATATTAGTGCTAGTACCGGTATCAATAATCCACAGTGGTTGTTATTACACAAGCGCTTTATCTGCACTCGGCTCTTGCTCTTTTAGACCAACTTAGGCTGCTATCTCAGGCTATGAGTTGACTATGGAAGAGTTTGTTCCTTTGCTGATTGGGTGCTCAACTTAGGGCTGCCAAATGCAGCCGGGGGGCAGGGAATCCCCCGTTTCGGAAACCCCACCCCCGCGTGCGCGTCACCTGGAAGTGACGTCGCACGCTGGGGGCGGGGCCACGCGATTTGAGGGGAAAACAAAGAGTTTTCCCCTCAAATGGCAGCCATTTGAGGGGAAAACTCTTTGTTTTCCCCTCAAATCGCGTGGCCCCGCCCCCAGCGTGCGACGTCACTTCCAGGTGACGCGCACGCGGGGGTGGGGTTTCCGAAACGGGGGATTCCCTGCCCCCCGGCTGCATTTGGCAGCCCTAAGTTGAGCACCCAATCAGCAAAGGAACAAACTCTTCCATAGTCAACTCATAGCCTGAGATAGCAGCCTAAGTTGGTCTAAAAGAGCAAGAGCCGAGTGCAGATAAAGCGCTTGTGTAATAACAACCACTGTGGATTATTGATACCGGTACTAGCACTAATATGTTTTAATATGAATAGTCAGAATTGTTTATTATTAATATTGTTGCTAATGTATCTTATTGTAATTTTACTGTAATTTTATGCTGCTTTTGTAAGCTGCCCTGAGCCAGCCCTGGGTGGGAGGGCAGGGGAGAAATGTAATAAATCAAATCAAATCAATTATACCTTGCAGAGGTCCCTCCCCTCCCCAAACCCTCCCCTCCCTGGGCTCCACCCCAGATCTCCAGAAGTTTCCTGACTCAGAGCCCCAGTGCTAGCTGGATCCAGGAACCCTTTTCGACACGGCGTCAGTTGGCATGCTGGTGCCAGGCCGCAGGTAGAAGCTGGACTCTCGAGGAAGGAAAGTGCAAAGTCTGAGAGTCTGGTGGGCTGATGCTTGTCCGGGTTCCATCGCCTTTGGCTCCATAACCCCTCAGCTGACCCGTCCACATGCCGTCCGCTCAGCTCCGAGCTCTCCACCCTCTCCTTTTATACCTCGCAGAGCACTTTGCAAGAAGACGGGAAGAGGAACATCAGCCTCCCCGAGAGGGGTGCCGTCTCCGCCCAAGATCCTTGCTGGGGCTGCTGCAGGACTCCGTTGCCTGAGCGTCCGGGAAGCAGCGAGGTAGGGCCACGCAGCTGCCAGGTTCTAAAGAGGGTCTCACCGGGGGGGGGGAGGTTTGCCTTCGCCGCCTCCAGGTGAACCCCCTTGCCCTTCACGATTGTACCCCTTTTCTTTTTTTTAGGTTTTCAAAATTTTATTTAATTAAAACAATACAATACAAACATGCAAACGGAAAGATATAGTACAGTGGTGGCGAACCTATGGCACGGGTGCCAGAGGTGGCACTCAGAGCCCACTCTGTGGGCACGTGTGCCATCGCCCCAGCCAGGCCCAGACCATCATTAACGTGTCGAATTCTCTGCCAAATAATTTTAAGTCAATGAAAGCATTTGGGATTGCTTTCCTTACTTTGTTTGGATCCTCTTAAGTTAATGTATGAGTTGTTTTTTCTAAAGTAAAACCTCAGTATTCAGGTTCAATTGCCGTGTTGGCACTTTGCGATAAATAAGTGGGTTTTGGGTCGCAGTTTGGGCACCCGGTCTCTAAAAGGTTCGCCATCACTGATATAGTACATCGTGTTTTCAATCAATTTCAACTCAGTATCTGTACATTGTACATAATAACTAGCCTTATACTCCGTCTCATCTACTTTTCACATCTAATACTTGTGTGATGAGAACTCAGACTAAACAACTGTGAATCAAAAATGTTTCCGTTCCAAATAGTTACGGTTTGATGGTAGTAGATCATTTCCCACAAAATATGTGATCAAAGGGAACCACCTGCGCACAAATTTGGTATGAGATCCCCGCATGACTACTCGTTTGGTCCTTCGTATTTATCTGCCAATCTTGTCCATTATAAAATGATCCCAACATTTATTTCGCCAATTCTGAATGGTAGGAGCTTTGGGAGATTTCCATGAGGCCGCTATAGTCAGTCTTGCCGTAGCCAATAATGTAGAAGTGAGATCTGATCAATGTATTTCTTGATTATCATTTGTAATTGTTGAGTTTAGTAATAGAATGGCCAGTTCTAGTGGGATTTACCCCCTTAACAGTTCAGGAATCTTTTTAGTAAGAACAAAATATCCGGCTTTGTACATAAACGACTGTCTATGTCCGACGAAGTGTGCTTTGCACACGAGAGCTCGCGCCCTTGAATAAAACGGGGGCCCAAACCCAGGAGGTCCCTCAGTAGGGCCAGTAGTAGCTGTGTCGTCTTCCTTCTTTTCTTTTGCAGAACCAGCCCTCCAGAGGGGATTCAGGCCACACCCCCACAACTGCCGTGCCGAGCAGAAATGGGACCATGGGGGATTTCCGCCCTGGCGCTTACACCCCCATGAGGATGAGGATGGTGAGCAGCAGGGAAACCCCCTGGGCTGGGACTTTTTGGGCTGGCGCCCTGGTCCGTAGTGACGGTGGGGCGATTGGGCGCTCTGCCCCCTTCCTCAGAGGGCCCCTGCTTCTTCCCAAAAGCATTTAAAGGGATCCTTTAAAATGCTTTCAAGAAGAAGCGGGGGGGGGTGGCGGGGGCAGTGGGGGCGGCGCATGCTCCTCTCCCTCCCCCCTCCTGCAAGCCGGGTGTTCCCTGCCAATCAGCTGAAGAGCCCTTTAGATCTTGCAGGAGGGGCGTGAGAGGGGCGCATCCTTATGGAGAACAACGGCAGCCCCACCAGAAAAGGTTTTGCCCCACAAGCCACAAAATCCTGGCTTCGGGGCAGCTGCGCCAGAGGGCGTGTGGGTGCTGAACAGTGTTCCCTCTAAGCTGAGTTAGTAAGAACATAAGAACATAAGAGACGCCAATGCTGGATCAGGCCAATGGCCCCTCCAGTCCAACACTCTGGGTGCGTTCAGACGGGGCGTTTCAGCCGGCATAAACTGTACTGGTTGGAACCGGTGCAGTTTATGCCGGCTGAAACGCGATCACACTTACTTCCCTCACAGCAGAGCCCATCGCTGTATGCCCGTTCACATGCTGCAGGCGTCGGCGTTTTTTTTTAAAACTCAATTTGAGCATGCGCATAGGCAGCCATCCACAGAATGGCGATCTTTGCGCATGCTCAAAACACCCCGTATTACATTTAAAGTTTAAAGGTAAGGACTTACCTTTAAAGTTTAAAGCCCAAACTGGCCTCCCTGAAGTCCTGGACTCCTCCGGAAAGTTAAACTAAGGGCCTTTTCTTTTTTAAACAAACGCTGGGGCGAAGCTTCACCCAAGTGCATATCGCCAACCTAACAAAAAAAAAGGCGGGCGAACGGGCGAAAATCGGAAGCCTCGGGCTTCCTAATGGAAGTGGCTCTGGAATGGTGGAGAGCGATCAGATGGGGGTACAGCCGTTGTACTCAGGATACCACCACTTGGGCAGAGTTCAGGGGCCAGGGTTGGATGCAGAATGAATGAGCCCAGAGACAGCAATTGGGCTTCCACTTGGCGTGGGGAAATACATCCGTCGTATTTGTTTATTGTCTCTATATCTGGCCATTCTGCCCTTGCAAAGGCCACCAAGTTAGCTAACAGTTTAAAACAAGCATGATAAGAATCACATTTTAATCACCATTAAAATCAACCCGTCCCAAACATGCATCAAACAATCAAAACAATCAATCAAACAATCAAAAACAGGAGTTAAAAGACCTGCAAAACATAAAAGCAGCAACTCAAACATGGGTTAGGAAGGCGGAACTGTGGAGGGAATGCCAAACGAAACAAAAGGTCTTTGCCTGCTCCGCCCACTGGGCATGAGGTTGGGAAACTCCTGGAGATTTGGGGGTGGAACCTGGGGAGGACAGGGACCTCAGTGGGGTACAAGGCCATAGAGCCCACCCTCAAAAACATCCCTTTTCTCCAGGGGAACTGATCTCTCTAGTCTGGAGCTGAGCCAGGCCCATAGCTACAGTGGGGCATTTCGGGGCCTGGCCCCCTGACTTCCTGCCAAGGCCCCCTGACTTCCATCTATCCCAGCTGCCCAAGCGCGGCTTGCTTCCCTACCCCCTCATGCTGTTACTGCCGGAGCCCCTCGCCCTGCCATGGGAGGCCTGCTCCCAACTGGCAAGCGTGAGTTGTTGTTGTTTTTTGTTTTTTATTGGGCTTTTTTTGTGACATCAGTGCCCCCCCCCCAATTTATTTAAAGACCCCCTGAATTACAAAATCCTGGCTACGGGCCTGAGTTGAGCTGTAATTCCAGGGCGCCCCTGTTAAGTCGCTCACTTAACAAAGCAGTCGGAGAGTGATTCAGCAAGAACACAACTTTATTCTTCAACTCGAACACAACTCCAACACGGATCAACACCTGATAGCCAGAACAGCCTTTACATTGCAGCTGTCCTGCTTTTAAACATTCCCGGCTAATGTATCCCGCCGATCACCTATCAACCTATGAGGTTGCCGAGATAAGGTCCAATCACATTAGTTCCTGCCCAGGGAGCTTGCATGAAGTGATTGGCTTGTTACTTCCTGGGCTAGCAAAACTATTGGATGGATTTGGATCCTAGCCCAGGACGAAGCTTAACATTACAGTTCAGTTAGATGTTTCACCACATGTCATGCATTCAAGGCAGCTTTGAATACACTACAGCCCCCAAGTCCCACCTGGAGGCTGGCACCCCTCGACTTGGCCCGACATAAAGCCAGGTGGTGGCACCTGCCATTCAGAAGCGTCAAAGGCCTCCATCAGTGCCCAGTTTGTGCCGCAGGGATCTGGCTGGTCTCCGGCAGCCCTCCTGAGCCTGGGTTCTCTGCTGCTCTTTCCAGACCGGATCCTTCTTGGGGACAGTCTGGACCCGCCCCCAGGAAGACGGCCCCACCCCTGACCGCTGCCAAGGATGCTGCAGGGTGAATACGACAGCCGGTGCCAACCTCCCTGGGAGAAGAGAGGAGGGGAAAGGCTCTGCCACGAAACCCACTTCAGGGGTAAGTCCGCAGAGGCAAGCGGTGGTTATGGGGGGGGGGCCTCTTCACACACTTGAACCCCATTCTGTGGTTAAAATGGGACCAAAGGGTCATACACACCCCTCGTTCTTCCAGTGCACATTTGGGCAGCTTGTTTCAGTGGGGGCATAAGGTTGCCAACTCCAGGATGGGAAATTCCTGGAGATATAGGTGTGGGAACCAATGTTCCCTCTAAGCTGTGGAGTCTTGTGAGCAAAAATTCTACTTTGTGAGCTGCTGGCCTTAAAGCTGTGAGCGAGCAATTTGGCTGCTGCATCAATTAGCCGGCTCTGGAGCCCCATCCTTCCTGAGTTAAGACAACAATGTGTGAGCTGGAAGCTAAAAAACCGTGAGCTGGCTCACACTAACTCAGCTTAGAGAGAACACTGGTGGTAACCTGACCTAGATAGCCCAGGCTAGCCCAATCTTACCAGCGCTCGGAAGCTAAGCAGGGTCGGCCCCAGCCAGAATTTGGATGGGAGACCTCCAAGGAATACCAGGGTTGTGAGGCAGAGGCAGGCAGTGGCAAGCCACCTCTGGAACGTCTCTTGCCTTGAAAAACTTATGGGGTCATCATAAGTCCGCTATGTCTGGATGGCACTTTCTGTGGGACATATGTGTGTTGCAAGGTCTAAAATCCAGTCATTATTGGGTTCATGTGTGTTTTATATTTATTTATTTTATTTATTTTGCGATTTTTATCCCGCCCTATCCAGTAGCTCAGGGCGGCTAACAACATCAAGGTGTTTACCTTGTGTGCTGTTGTTTAGACTGACCTGGAAGGGAACCTGGCACAGAGCCAATGGGAAGAAAGCCCGGGAAACTGCAGCCTATTTACTAACTAACAATCGTTGGTTAATGCACTCAGGTGATTTCCTTTTAGGGGTCAAGAAGAAGAAGAATCTCCATTGTTGTATACCGTGTGGTCAAAGTGTAAAGATGTAGCCTCTGGTGGCTTTGTTGTTCTGTACATTTTCCCGTGAACCCTTCCCTTAGAAGTAACGATTTTTGCATAGAAAAAAATGCCTCCTCTCCAGTGAAGCAAAGATCCATTGCAATCTCTGAATATTTAGTTATTTTACCACATTTTTCCAACACTTTCCACCATCCTGGGTGTAGTGTCTGGGAAAGGCAGGGATTTGAGGAGGGTAGGGTCCTCAGTGGGATATGAAGCCCACCCTCCATTTTCTCCGGGGGAACCGATCCCAGTAATCTGGAGATCAGTTGTAATTATGGGGTATCTCCAGGCCCCACCGGCAGATTGGCAACCCTGTAAAGAACACGGGAGATGCTCTGGTCTGAATGGAGAAGTGACCCTCGTGCCAGTGGTTGTGGAGGGCGCTGGCATTCTTGAGGCGTTCCGGCTGAAGGCGGGCATCACCTGACTGAAGTAGCCCCGCACCACCTGGGATGTTGCAGGGGGGGCCTTGGAGAGCCAGCCTGGCGCAGTGGCGAGAGGGTCGGCCTGGAATCGGGGACCTGGGTTCAAATCCTCCACGAACCATAAACTCGACCTTGGGCCAGTCATTCTCTCTCCGCCTCACAGCCTCACCTTCTTCACGGAGGAGAGGGGAGCCCTGTATGCTGGGGTGGGGAAACGGGAGGGATGATGGGGAAAAAAGAAAGCTCAGTTTGGAAAGGGCCTGTGGGCAGAGACCTTGCAAGGCGCAGATGCAGTCAGAGGGAAAGGCAGAGAGAGGAGGCCCAGCGAGGGTCGCCAACACTGAGTCTGGACATTCCTGGAGATTTGGAAGTGGGGCCTGGGGAGGGTGGGGTTTGAGGGTGGGAGGGGCTACGTAATGCCCTAGAGCCCACCCTCCAAAGCAGGGGAACTGATATCTGGGTTGTTGTTTTTTCAATTTTAAAGTAACTTTGGCTGTGGTCCCATGGTCATTTTGATTGGGTTTCACCGCTGTTCCCTCTCGCATTTAAAATTGCTGATCAGACGCCCAAATCCGTCTCCTGCACTGAAGTGGGCTCACTTGCGTAATCCTTCCGGTTCCCTAGCGAGTTTTCCGACACCGGGAAAATCAACTACTTTCTGGGTATTTGCGCTCTGAATTCATGATTTTACCTCTCTGGACAGCCATCTCTCGCAATGATTGCGATTAGGTCATCTGAACGTCCTTCTTCTGGTAGGGATTTTTTTTTTTGCGACTTTCACCATTGTGCACATGCGCATATGTGCACATGTCTGCGTGCGCATATGCACATGTGTGCGCATATGCGTGGCATGGCTGTCTGGCACATGTGTGCGTGCACATCTGCACATGTGTGCATGCGCATATGCACATGTGCAAAGATTTTTTTTTTAATTGTGCCACGCCACCACTTGGGTGGCATGGCTGTCTGGACAGTGCCTGGAGCATTGCTGTGCAAAGCAAATGGTTGGGCAACGGATGTGTGATCACCTGAACCTGCTTAAAAATATCCCTGATCGAATCGACAGTGGGAACAAATCGCGGTACGCTTGTCGGGTGACCACAGCCTTTATTAAATACAAAATAGATACAATACAAATTGGAATGAATATTATCACAAACATCTGGGCAAGAACCACTGTTAACTAATTTATGCACCTAACTCAACTATCAACATGGTATCTGTTGTATGGAGATCAGGTGTAATTCTGGTCCCACCTGTAGGTTGGCAGACCCAGCTGACGGGTGATCCACTCTGCTCTTCTAACCCTGGCACAGGGCAGTCCCAGCAAAGGGGCCTGGAGGCCCGTGCTGGACAGGAAGGACCCTGACCAACACTCTTCCCAGATGGCTGAAGATGAGTGGTGGCCTGTGTTCTCCAAGGGTGCAGCTCCACCCTGGCAAAACCACGCAGGCCGGTGAAGAACGGAAGAGGTAAGAGAATGTAGAAACAGAGGTTGCAAAAAGGAGCCTGTGGCGTTCTTGCTTATTGGGGGAGACGGTTTTACCTTTAAACACGCTTTGTGTACCTAAACTTGGTAGATTTCTGCTGCCACAAGGAATTAAAAAATCCAAGTCTCTCTCTCTGCTGGTACTATGACCTAGGGTCTAGGCACTTCAGAGGACTATGTGGCCCTGAGGAAGAACTATTCTGATTTCTGGGATAAGCTTAAACAAAAAATGATTTATTTAATAAAGAACAAAATAGGTTTCTGGTTATTTTGAACTGTTACTGGGAAAAAAAAGAACTTGTAAATATATCTGGAAAAACTTGGTGTTACAAACAGTCATTCAGACTTCACTCTGACAGGCATAGACTCTCAGTATAATTTCTCTCTCTCTCTCATGTATATATAACCACACAGGCTAGTCTCTTTGTTTTATTCACCCAGATCAGAATCAGCTCTTATAGTAACTCAGACTAAACTGTTTGCCTTATTCACACAGAATAGAAGGAAAATTCCATAGTCACACAGACCATGCTGTCTCTTCAGACTTCACACACAGAACTCTTCATAACTCTCAGAGTCACACAGACTCTTTTCAAAACTCTTCCATACTAGTCTCTCTCATATCACAGAATCCCCTCATAGACACACACACAGAATCCTCTCAGACACCCCTCCTCCCACACTCTCAGTCAGCAGCCAATCACAGCACACTCATCTCCCCCTATCGCTCTCCTTACCTTACTGCAGTCAAACTCAACATTTAAAGACACACACACACCAAAACATGGAATCATTACAGAGCCCTGTCTGCATAGCCTGGTGGTGAGTGTTCTCTCTGCAAGGCACCTGAATAACCAAATGGCCTTTGCTTTCTTTTTCTGCAGGGGAAGAGGAGAAAAGGGTTGAAAGTGCAGTGGGAAATGAATGGGCTTGCACCTGGCAGGGAATTCAGGGCAGTTGTGTGTCTCCCACTCACCGCAAGGAAGCTTGTGCAGATGAATTCCCCATTGGATTGGGCCCTGGACAATGTAGGAAGTGGCTGCCTTTTTGGAAACGCCTCTCTCTTCTGCCTTGCCCTCCTTGGAATGAAGATCAGCCCTGCTGCTGGGCCTTTGGCTGGCCATCTCGACCAACGCAACCCTTTCCCATCCATCGCATGAAGCCACGGGAACAGGAAACACTTCAGCCATGATAAATACACACACAATAGCAAAGATCTTTAAGATCTGCAGACAGAGGCGCTCTGCTCTAGATCAGGGTTCCCTCTAAGCTGAGTTAATGTGAGCCAGCTCACAGTTTTTTAGCCTCCAGCTCACAGATTTTTGCCTTTGCTCAGAAAGGATGGCTCTAGTTATGCAGCAGCCAAATCGCTGGCTCACAACTTTAATGCCAGCAGCTCACAAAATAGAATTTTTGCTCACAAGACTCCACAGCTTAGAGGGAGCCTTGCTCTAGAATCCCGTTTGGGGTCAATGGCCACCTGCTCCCTTCTCTGTTTCATTTTGGTGGCAGCAGAAAACTATTCCTTTCCAACATCGGTTGAACCGATGGATCAGTTTTACTGCCGTTGCCTCCAAGCTGGCTTTGATGTAGGGATGCTAATGAGCTGGATTTCAGATTTTTTTTACCCTTGTTGCTTTAACAAGCTCTCCTGCTTTAAACGTCAGTGACGGGATTTGTAGAACGACGTTCTGGATCTCTGAAGGAATTCTCAAGTTCTTTGAAAATAAGATTGCTGTGAAAATAACTCAATAAAAAGCTGGAATATTTATCTGAGCCTAAATTTGTGTGCCAGTCTTAGGAGGGGAAAGGGAAACGCTGGCGTGGGCTGGAGAAACATTGGGGCACCTCTGAAGGAGCAGCTGCCTGTAGACGTCCGGTGGGCCACAGTCAGAGGGCAGCTGTGGAGCTGTCAAAGGTGTCAGGTGGGCCTCCCAGGAAAGGTGGGGCACCCACCATGTGGCAGTAAAAGCAGCTGTAGGAGGGGAGGGGGGCTGGTTTTCCAGCAAAGCCCCCCAAGCGACTGTTTGGGGTAGCACCAGGGGTCATTTCCTGCAGGAGCGCACAGAAGCGGCGCTCCGGCAGTAAAGAGCCCAGGGGGAGGGCACATGCAACAAACCCCACCTCCTGCTCCCAGCAGCCCTCAGTCAGAGCAAGAAGCAGCCAGGTAAGTTGCAGAGCTCCCCCCAGTGGCACCTTTAAGACCACGTTTTATTCAGGTACAAGCTCTCCCTCCTCTGCGAGGACAGATCTGCACGTTCCTCCCCCCCAATAGCTAGTCAATCCAAAACAGTCCAGTGGAGCCTGAGTGGTGGGTGTCGCCTTCTGACACACGTCCGGTGATGTCAGGGTGTGTGTCATAGATGCAACAAACATGAAGTTGAGCCAACTTCAGAGGACGGCGGAAGACAGGAGGGCCTGGCGTGATCTGGTCCATGGGGTCGCGGAGAGTCGGACTCGACTATGCGACTGAACAACAACAACTCCAGATGTGGGGTGGACAATTTAAGCCTCTGTCATGCCGCTGGCGACTGTTCCCCTCCCCTCCCCCAGCTCTGCAGGGCAGCCCTCTTGCCTGGAGATATGAGCTCTTGATGTGCCCCACAGGCCTGGTGAGCAGGAGGCATGTGGAAAATTTATTCGGCAGTCCCCTGGAAATGTGACCCTGGGTTTTTGGAATCTCTGCTTGGGGGGGGGGGCTGGAGCCTCCTTTTTTGGCTCAGCCCAGCAAGAGAGAAAAAAAGAACCATTTCCTGGTCCAGAGAAAAGGGAACAGAAGCAATCAGCCTGGGA